GGTCCAAAAGGGGGTTTTTTGCCCCACACAATGCAATATATTTTCGCTTTGGCATTTGTTGCGTTTTGGCAGCATTTTTTTTGTTGTTGACTCTTATTTTTTTTCCAGATTTTTTGTTTATTTGTTTGGATTTCCGCTGCCTCACAAAAATCTTTTTTTTTGCGGTTTTTTTTGTGCATTGCATGATTGACAGTTGCCAGGCATTGATGGAGGCTTAGAGTGGCGGTGGGCGGTGGGCGGTGGGCGGTGAGTTGGGGGCGGGGTTCTGGGCCTGCAATACCTAAATGCATTCAGTCAAAAGTTGTGTGAAAGCCTCCGAATAAAAATATTAAAAAATATATGTACATCCCCCCAGTGCAAATATAAACAAATCCATGTGAATGCGAACAGTGACTGTGAAAATAATAGCACCCTAATCTTTACTTCATATATAATATGATTTTTTTGGAAAAAATGAATGCAATTAATTTGTTTGATTTCTAATGATTTAATGATTTCTTTCCTTATAATTTAAATAAAAATATTGAAGATTTAAGATTATAATTAAAAACAATTTTGTTCTCCTTTTAAGGAAATTAAAACTATTGATCAGAACATATATGAATTACTTTTGAATATTAATACAAATGAATTACAATTTTGCTATATGACATTTTTAAAGTTGAAACGTCATTTAAAAATGTATTTTTATATTTTCGAATAATAATTTTAAAAATAAATATAAACAAATAATAATTTAATACATTTAATTTGGAAATTATATATATTTTGGGGCACTACTTATATTTTTCCCTTCACTGTTCGAGCGATCAAAAAAAGAATTGTTCATATATTTTCGAATAATTCTAATTCTCCTAGTATTTCAAAAAAAAAAAATTATCATTTATATACTTTTCAATAATTTAGGAAACCAAGTATTTTGGTATGCACTCCTAATATTTCCCCCTGGACTGTCCGAGCGTTCATATTACGCATACGCAACGTAGACGGCAAACAAACAACGCAAATGCTGACAAGGGCAGGTGGTGGCGCTGTGAGTGGGGGGCGGGGGGTTAGGGGGCCCCAAAAGGGCTCGAAAAAGGGGGGACGACTCATAAAATGCAAGCACAGCAGCGCGGTGGCGACGACAGTTGAGAGGGCCAGCCTAAAGGTATGCTATGAAAAAATTGCATAAGAGCAGCAGCTCGAAAAACGAGAGGCAAAAAAAAAAGGAACGCATTTGTTTCAAAATTAAATACTCATGTGTATGTGTGTGTGTAGAAAAGAAAGCAAAAAGAAAAAGAAAGCAAAAGTTGTTGGTTTTGTGCGTTGATTTTTGTTTTGGTTTTGTTTTTATTTTTGTTTCACTGCAGCTCCCCTCGTTAGAATCATTTCGCCCCTTCCGCCGGGAAGTCAAAAGGGCGAAGAAAGGGCCGCAAGGAGGCGGGAGAAAGGAGTGCAAGGCAAGGTAAAAAAAAAAGAAAAAAGAAAGTGTAAAAGCAAAAGTATTTATTATGCGGCAATGGCTTGGAGAGGCCTACAAGAGGCCTGCAAAACATCAGAGTCAACGAATTGCAGCGCACACACACCCAAAGTTGCATACCCATGTACACAGCGAGAAATAAATCGTTTTTAATGGTTCAATAAAACTTTAAATGTAGTTGGTTACCTTTGAAAAATATTAACTTCAACTAAACTAAGCCAAAAAAAATATTATGGAATTTAATAATATAAGATCATTTGCAGATCCTAAAACCCATATTGAAATTAAATTCCAAAAATGTTTTTTTATACTTTTAAAATAAAAAATATTCTACCATTAATTTTTGTATCTTTTTTTTGTGCTGATTTTGAAGTAACTCTTAAATTTGTTCCGTGCCACACGAAACCGTTCCTCACACAGATACTCCCGCACGCACACAAGCGCAATCGGCGTCAACGTCCGCAGACTCGAGGCGGCTGCCACTTTTTTGTTGCCTCCTTTTGGGCTTTCTTTTTCCCAAGCTTTCTTTTTTAGATAAAATTTTATTTGAATTTATGCATGTGCGTCTCCCCAAGAGAAAGGGGGAAAAAGCGAGTGGAAAGTAGATGCATACACACATGTAATGAACACCATGTAATGCTCCTCCAGACTTCCTAAAAAGTTTTCGGTTACGTTCATTTGGGAAAGTTATCGAAAAAGGTCCCTTTTGTCTGACAATGCAAACAATTTCGGTTTTTTATTGAAAAATGTTTGAGGTAGGTACAAAATTCCTTCTTAATGAAAGATTTTCTGTTCAAAAACAAGAAGGTAAACTAAAAAAAAGGTCCAAAAAAGTATATACATAAATCGAATGTATATTTTAGTCATACGATCTCATAGTTAAGATCCCAAATGCATACTTATAGATCATAATTTTCACCCCTAAAATCCTCATAATCGAAAAGCCACGCAGGACCGTAACCTTTTGGCAAGTCAACACTGTGAGACTTGCATTTTAATTTCATGTTTTTTTAGGCGCTTTTGAATTTTTGACAACATTTCCGCTGGCTTGGCCCATCTGGGGCCTGTCATCCGGCTTTTGCCACCCCGAAATTCCCCCTTAAACTCGTCAAGCGTTGCAACAAAGTGCGTTATGCATATATAATCTTCTTTTTTTTATATTATTTTCCTGGTTTTTTCCACTGCTCTGAAGTAGGAAAAGGCGGGCAGAAGAGGCTAGGAAACATAAGAAAAACGACAGTGGCTACTCGTGTTCCTTTTGCTTTCATTTTCCCTATATATATATATATATATATGGAAAACATTTTTTTGCCCACATTTTTCGCGTTTATCCCTGTTGACGAAAATTTTTGCGCTTAAAAAGAATGAGTCGGAGGCGGAGGAAAATGTAATGTGAAAAATATTTGCCGGAAGCTAAATGTTTTGCAAGGCGAGGTACAGTTGTGCTTGCCGTGCGCCCAAAAGTATGCATTGCATTCCATTTTGAATGCAAGCCAAAATTAGTGGAGACAACCGCCGCCCAAAAGCGGAAGAATGCCTTGTTCGCACTGGTGGGGAATAAAAAATAAATTGAATATCGAGCCCAGTCCATTTCTTAGTTGCTTCTTTTCTGTTCACCTCCTCTTTGTTTGTCCTGTTGCAACATGCGACAATTTTTCTTATTGTTTGATTTGAATATTTGATTTGGTTTTTATTTTATTTATATACCAGGCAGTCTCAAATAATAAATGGCTGCCGAGTTTCGAGCTGAAAAACGTCCAGTATACAGTGTACACACTGCGTATACTCTATTTGTATATTAATTTGCCTGAAGCGTCTGTATTTACCCAAAAAAGCCTCTGGGGTGTTTGTGACAATCATTTCCAAACGATAAAATTAAATGAGTGTGACGCAGCATTTTTTAATAATTTGTTTAATATGCCCAGGGCTTTTGAGTGTTCAAGAAATTTTCGTGACGGCTTTATGGACTGTTTGCTGCATCATCAATGATGTCTTAAAAAATAGCTAATATTTTGTTCTATTTAACCTAATAGTAGTAAGAATCCAATAGGGTTTTTTATTTTTTAAAATTGTTTATAACTCTTAGTTTGTTAAGGGGTTCCTAACTTCAAAACTCCACTTTTTTCTTATAGAACTCATATATCATTTTCCCCAATCTTATTGATAGGGAATTCCCTGGTCGAAAACGTTTTTGGACACTTTGTCGAGAAGGCCTGGACAATGCAATGCCACCTCTCTTGACAGCCATATTGAAAATTATAGTGTCGTAAACATGCAACTGCAACAACAGCAACAGCATTGGTGGCAAATAAAAAATTAAATTAAAATAGAAGGGAACTGAGGAAAGGGGAAACTGGGGGAAGGGCGGGCAAAAGGACCTCGAACAGAACATGGCCAGTAAATAAATAATACAAACAAAAAAGTCCAGGGGCGTAGGACGCTGAGGGGGGGGTCACAAAATTGCAAACGGAAATTGCCAACAATGTGTGGCAAGTGAAAAGTGGAAGTGGCCCACAAAAACGAAGCGATAAAAAGTCAACTACCAACGAAATAAAACCAAACACAAAATTCTATCAACTGTGCGAAAACTTATGGCATAAGGTGTTTAGGTGTGTGTGAGTGTGTGTATGTGTGTGTGGGAAAAATTTACAGAGAGATATTTACACATAGATATACGACAACAACAACATAGATTACATACACATAGATTGGATTAACTAACAAAATTACACAGACACTTATCGATAGACATTTAGAGAGAGATAGAGAGTGTGTGAAAGAGTTAGCTAGCTAGAGGTAGAAAGAGACAGATAGAGAGATAGAGAGAGAGCGCTACACATTAAACAAAATATATTTACTATATAGAGCTAGGAAACTGAACAACTAACATTTGGTACTTGGTTTTTATCTCAAATTACTTTTAAGGTTTTTGGTTTTTTTTTTTCAAACTGAATAGAAAAAAGAAAAACTTTACTTTCTTAGGTTGGGAAAAACTTGATATGTATATATATATAGGGCATAGATATATAGATGGTTAAGATATATATATATATTTATATAGATATATATGTATGGGTATATATATGTATAAAAAATTCATAGACAAAGAACACGACGAAGAGCAAAAATATATGTTGAGTTTTGATTTTGTTTTCTTTTTGCATTTGTTTTTGGATTTTGTATTTTGTTTTTTTGGTAATTAAATATATAGAAATATGGCATATAGATGTATATATAAGAACAGACAGAGAGAGAGAGAGAGCAATACTTAAAATAGAGATATACATATAGAAATGGAGTCGGATCGAGCCAGATTGGGATCAGTAATGTAGATCTTTTTTGCGAGACGCATCTCGGAATTCGAAAGATATTTTTTTTTTGTGTTAACCTATCGAAGCAGCAAAAGCATTCACTGAAAGGGATCTCCTGGGACTGGAGTTTCGTTTCGAATTTTGGCAGGGGTTCTTCTCGAATCGGAATGGGGGAGTTCAGGGGCGTGGGTCAGGGGGTCGGGAGTATCTCGGAATCGCAGACTTACCGACTCGTGGGAGGCGCGGTAGTCAAGGTCGCCGCCCAGGCCGCCGCCAGCTGATGCCGAACGCTGTTGCATGTGTCTGCTGTGACTGCTGTTGTCGTCCTCGCTGCAATCGATCTCCTTCTTGAGGCTCTGCGGAGGGAATACAGATTGTTTTTAATGGGGTTTACAAATTTTTTTTTTTAAAGTATTTTTTTTGTTGCCACAACATTAGGAACGAGAAATATCTCAAATATTTGAGAAGAAACGTTCTTGAAATCAAGACGAAAGTACTCTCAAGTAGTTTTTCGAGATAAAGCAAACTTAATATTAAGATGAAAATAGTCTTAATTATATTTTTAAAATGAAAATCGTCTTGCAAAGCAGTATAGTCTATCTTGATTTTAAGAATCATGATTTCGAGAACAGTTTCTTCTAGCTTTAGAAAGTATATTTATAAAATTGTCAATAATTGTCAAGATACTGACATTCATGAGCCAGCATACAATGTTTTGATGAATATAAATTAGATTTAAATTAAATTAAAGAAAAATGTAAATGTAAAAAGCCTTGAAATCACTCACCAATGGCACCGATTGCACGGGCAGGAGATTGGTCCCGGGACTCAGCAGGCTGGAGGAGGATGCTCCACCTCTGCCGTCGTTGCCGCCGCCGTCGCGGGAGCTCCTCGACGCCGGTCGTCCGCCTGAGCCGCCGATGCTGAGGTCCGAGGCGCCCGCTCCGGCTGCCTGTGCCGCCGACATGGCCGGCGTGGAGCGCTGCGATTCCATGGCCGCCGCCGCTGCCGCTGCCGCCGACGAAGATGGCAGGGTGATCAGCGGCGAGGGTATCAGGGTGGATCCGGTGGACAGGTCCACGCCACCGCCGCCCGCTCCGCCGCCCATCTTCATGTTGAGACCCAGATCGTTGCTGCTGTTGTCCGCCTCATCATCGTCATCCAGATCCATCTCATCGTCGTAGTCATCGTCGAGGATCTCGCTCTTGGCAATCACGGGCATGGCGTCCTCGTCATCCGAATGCGGGTTATGATGCTGCTGATGCTGCTGCTGCTGGTGGTGCGGCTGCGGATGGTGGTGGTGCTGCGGATGGTGGTGGTGCTGCGGATGTTGGTGGTGCTGCGAGTGATGGTGGTGCTGCTGCGTGTGGTGCAGCCGCTGCAGGTTCTGGTGGGCCAGTCGCTGGGCAATGCCCCTGGCCATCGCGGTGGCAGTGCCCACCACCACCACATCATCGTCCAGATCCTCCTCATCCATGTCCTGCTCCAGACGATCGTCACCGAGTCGCCGCTGCTGCTGCTGATGGTGATCCCCATCATCGTCATCATCATCGTCCACCGCAACCACAGAGTCCGCTGTACCGCCCGAGTTTCCAGTGCCGCCATTGCTGGCTGTTGACGATTTCCCACTGCTAGTGTTCTTGTTGTTGTTGTTGCTGCTCGAGTTGTTGTTGTTGTTATTGCTGCTGCTGCTGTTGGTGTTGCAAGTGCTGCCACTGAGGTTGTTGCTGCCGCCCTGCTGCGTTGCTGCTGCTGCTGCAGCTACTGTTGCGCTTTTTGCCTCCACATTGGGTCTTTGATAGAGATCCAGCGGCATGGGCGTCTCCTCCTCCTCGTCCTCGTCCTCCTCATCATCCTCCTGATCCCGCAGCATCGCCTCCTCGTTCTCATCCAGCTCATCCACCTCCTCCACATCGTCCTCCTCCTCGTCCTTTAAGTTGCGTGCGAGCAACTCCTCTGCGAGCAGCTCGTCCGCCTGCTGTTGCTCCTGATCGCGATCCTCCAGAGAGTCCTCCTTATCCTTATCCTTGTCCGCATTTGGATGGATGCGGGAAGAGCGCTTGGCGGGCGTGGGACTGCAGCGATCGCTGGCCTCCCGTTTCTGCCCGCCATGGGTGGAGGACGATGTCGCCTCCTCCGAGTGTGCAATACCAGCAGATGTTGCCGCTGCCGTCGAGGATGTTGCTGCCGTGGATGTTGCTGATGTTGCTGCACAGGTTGCTGCTGTTGTGGTTGCCGCCGTTGTGGTTGTACTACTGCTGCCGCTGCTGCTGCTTGTGTTGCCGCTGCTGCTGCTGCTGCTGCTCCCCGCCGCTGTTGCCGTTGTTGCCGCAGATGTTGCTGCCGTCGCTGCTGTTGCCGCCGTCGCCGCAGATGTCGCTGAGGTTGAGGTCGATGTTGCCGCCGCCGCAGTGGCCGTTGCTGCCGTCGCCTGTGCCGCCGCTGTGGCATCGAGAGCGGCCGCCGGACTGTCGGCCGCCTTGTGGGCGGATCCGCCGCTCCCGCCGCCGCCCTGCGGACGCAGGCGGTCCGGCTCCCGTTCCGGTTCGCGCAGCGTCGTGTTCTGGTTCGTCATCTCGGCGAGGCCCTTGACCTGTGGTAATCAAATTGATTAGTAAGAAATAATGAAATATATTTAAAAGTTCAAAATAATTGCAAAATTGCTTTTAACTGTTAGTTAACTAATTATTTTAAATTTAACTGGTAGTTAGGGCTTTTTTTTATAATGAAAATATTTTTATAGGTTTACCTTCTATACAAATTACATGACATTATCTATGATTTCAATCAATTTAGGAAAGATTTCTCAGTTTCAGGTTAAGCTTATAGTTTGTTATCTGTCGGATATAGCTAACATGAAGTTAAAGTTTGGGAGAGACAAGGCTGTTAACTCAACGTAATGTTAATTACAAAGAAAAAACTAAACAGAGTCTGTCAACAAACGAATCGTGGGAAATTAAAAAAGAACATAACCGCTAGTTAAGACTTATAGTTTGTTATCTGTCAGATATACCTAACATGAAGTTAAATTTTTGGAGAGACAAGTCTGTTTTCTCAATGTAATGTTAATTACAAGGAAAAAACTTAACAGAGTCTGTTAACAAACGATTAGTGGGAAATTAAAGTTGGACATAACCTCTAGTTAGAACATCAACTCGGTTGTATATATCCTAACGTGATATTAAGAAATGACGAAACTTAACCTGACATTGAGAAATCCGACAAAATTATACTATATTTAAAGTTTTCTAGCTCATTTGCTTATAAATGTAAAATGTCAAGTGTATCCTTTTTAAATAATAGTTTGTTAAACTATATTTATCTGTGATCTTTAACCACCAGTTGGCAACACTTCTTAAAGGGTCGATATAGGGTCACCCACCTTGAGGGATTCGGCTGTCTTGAGCAGCGCGGACAACTGACAGTATTGCACGTTCACCTCGCCCTTGTACATGAATTCAACTAAGGTTTGCAGCTCGGCAAAACGGACGTCCTTCAATATCACAATTGGATGTCTTTCGGGGTGCTCCAGGAACAGGCTCTGGAAGTACGAGGAACAAGCCGAGAGGACCACCTGCAACAGATAAACAAAAAACCAATGGATTAGTAATGAGTTGGGTAATGCATTGATGAACTAAAGTAATAACAATGTATTCTCATATTCACATCCTACCTACGAAATCTATAAAAAAAAAACCGGAGCACTTCTTCTCAAGTGTTAAGTATTTTAAAAAAATGTTCCTTTTTAATTTTTCGCTTTATCAGTCCATCATCTATGCACTCCGCCGAAGGAAAGGCGCATTTTCTACGCTTTTCCCCTTGAGCTCCGCGATGTTGCGGCAAGCATTTATTAGATTTACGATCTGGCTCTCAAACGCAGCCACAAATGCCGCTTTTGAAGATGCCACAAACGAGCGATCCGGAAAAGTTTGGGGCAGCGGGGCAAGTTGGGGGAAAAAAAAGGAGCGCTGCGATGGGCGATTCAGTTGAAGTTCAATTTGGAGTCCAGTTCTTTTTTTCTCTCTCCTTTTTTTTTTGCTCTTGCCAGTTGGCTGCGGGCGTCAAGGCGTGAACATGCCACGAATGACAATGCCACAGCAACTGCAACAGCGGCAACACCAACAGCAGCAGCAGCAACATCAGCAACTTGCAACTGGCAACTTGCAACTTGCAACTGGCAACCAGTTCCGATCCGTTTCAGCATTGCTGTCGATTTTTATGTGCGCATGCACGCCTTGGGGTATGCAATATATATTTATATATATATATACACGTATATATCCCCAGCAGATCGGCCCGATTGGTGGTTTTATGGGGGAGTGGAGGAGCGACCGTACTGCCATGTTGTAAATTTTCATTGCTGGCAAATTGAAAAGGCGTCGGCCTCCATTTCGCATATAGATTTCGCTATAGCCTAATGAGGTTTTGGCCTAAGACTGCAGTAACCTCCGTCTTAGCGATGGGAGCGTGAGGGAACTTACGAGGCAGGGTGATATTTTTAACCATCATTAGGAAACTTAACCGAAATGCTTTAAGTATAATTTAGGCAATATTTTTGAAACTAGGTATAAGACAGTTGTTTAGAGTTTTTTTATATAAAATATCCTTACAATTTTTAGAGAAGTTTATGCTGAAAGAGGTGTGGTTGGAGTAAAAAGCTTAATTTTGGTATACGACTTTGTCTTAAGCTTATTAAAAACATCAATAAAGGAATTTACATTATATGCCATAGGAAGCTGGTAATTTTAATTTGAACCAAGTTAAATATTAAAAATACGGAATTAATTTGCATCAATATTTCTGGCTTCTTTTGGATACTTTTTTGTTTTTAGCTAAATAGAAACGCCAAGGATTTTAAATTAAATGCCAAGGAAAGTCGAAAATATATGTTTCCTAATACTTAAAGATTTAAAATTTTTTAAGAAAACTTTACTAAATAGGAAGTGAGTTAAGAGGCTAATTAATGACTAAAGGTTCGTGAAAATTTCTAGGTACCGCTGCCATCTCTAGCAGGTGCTCCTTTGCCTCCTGCCGCCCCATCCGCCCCCCTCCCCCGTGGCACCCCCCCTCCGAAGCGTCTCCTGTCACGCGCCGTTTGCGCCAGAATTTATTTAAAAAAATGCAATCGGCCTGCACACGCCCCCGAATCGCAACAACAGCGTAAAATGAGCGTTAATAAATTCACGCGCATATTAGAAGTCACGAGCGTGCGGAAGGGGGGTGGGCTAAAGGGGGGCCTAGGGGACTGGGAGCCCGACCATTCCAGGGTCCAGTCCTCGCAGTCTCGAAACTCTTTCAGTGGCATTAAGAAAATCGAATTTCCTGATTACAAGGGGGGCTTGGCCGAAAGCGGGGGGGTGGAGATGGCCAAAAGACAGGGGCGGGGCTGGGGGAAGAGGGGGAAAGGGGGGTTAAGGCGTCGCAAATTGGCAACACTTTTAATTGAACGTCGCTGCCGGTGAGGAAAGAAGCAGCCAAAGCGGGGGAAATAACGCCCCCAAAGCTAATGAACGCCAAAGGCTTTTGATTTCTAACGCCACGGCCCAGTTAGTAAACATATTCTCGGGCTCTCTTCCTATATTTAAAAAAAATCGTTATAACAAAAAAAAATGTAGGTTGCATGTAATTTGCGGCAAAATAGTCAACAACATAAATCCAACGAGCAAAAGAGAGGGGCAGAGATCGAAAGAAAGAGGTGGCAAGAGTCTAACCGATCCGATCGCATGTCCCAAGTGGGCGTACACCTTTCCAACCGAAATTTAAACAGCAGCTTTAGCATGGAGAAAATTAAACTAAATGAACGGAGAAATATCTCCCATTTTGGCGAGCATTCCTATTCCAATTACACATGCGTATAAATCAAGAGGTAAAATATTTCAGAGTGGGCGCCAGGGAATTAACTTTTTCTTGGCTAAAAAACCAGGGCGTTATCTTGGCTTTCTTATCGCAATCGAAGATCTCTTTCATTTGAAATGGTCCCGTTTTCCTCGTTTGATTTTGTTAGATACTAAATGGGTTTATATCTTTCCTGGCACGCACCTGCAAATTAAATCTCTATCTCTATTCATTTCTTGTGGGTTCTTGAGATTAAACCATTTTTATAAGATCTCCAACTTTATTTAACCTTTTTTTTTTTTGGAGTTGCTCTTTGCTAGTTGCCAAACTTGGGTGTGACGGTGAATTCTGTTGGCTGCGGAAAGGTTAACATTTCTATTATGGGGGGCACCACTCCCTTTTATAGATGTTTTTTGTTTTTTTTTTTTGCTTGACCACCATCAGAGAAATACAACAACAGCAACCGCTGGCGAACACTGCGGCGAAATATGCAAATTATTATGTTTGCATATCGCCGCCTTGCCGGGTTTCTTCTTTATTTTTTTTTGCCAGCAATTTTCTGTGTGTTTGTGTGGCGCTTGCGGCTCTTTTTATTGCTGTTCTACCTCTATAGATATTTCGATATTCTTCTGCAGATTCTTCCCACTGCGAATTTCACTCGCATTTATGTCTTAATACAATTTGCCAAGATTCCCTAGGAATGCAATCCAGGGACTACAACTACTACCTGATGATAGATGATGGATGATGATCCCCTGGGTTCTGATCTGATCCAATCCTATACCATCCCATCCCATCCCATCTCAACCCATCCGATCCTCGCCCCGACTTTCCAACATTGTGATTACTTTTTTTGTCCGTCAATTTCGCATAATGTGTGCAAATTTATATAATTTGGCCTGATGGATTATCGTTATCGATTGCTTTCCCCTGCCGATAATTGTGTGTGTGGGCAATTTAATTTTATTGATTTTTCCGATGACAGGCAGAGGATCGCTAAACTGTGATTATCGTTTTGAGTACATCTATTAGACTACATTTAATTGATAAATAAATAATACTTTTCAGTAAATAATACAAAATATATAGTATAAATTCTCATTAAAGAATGCTTGAAGATTTCCCCTGTATTCGTGTGCCTTGTATATTTATCATAATATTAATAACAATTATGCCGCATCATCTGCTTGCCATTTCTGAAGCTCAAAGCATTTCAGAAACTGATTAATGGCCAAGACCCGGTAGACAAGTGGCAATAGAAGGGGTAAAGAATGGGAAAAAAAAACACACACAATTTTATTTCAAAATATGGCATTTCTAATTTAACAACTGCGCTTCAAAAATTGCGTTTTTTGTACCGCCACTGCCGTCGTCTTTCTTTCGCATGCCTGCCATTTAATTATTTTCTTAGAGCTCATTTTATAGGGGGCCCAGGGGCTTGCGAGGGGGGTAATGAAGAGATGATGGAGTGTCAGGGGCGGGGGGAGGGAGAGGTAGAGGGGGGCAGCGGAGCGCAGACGGCGGCAGCAAACACATCACACGTTGACCTTGATATTCGCATTCGCAGCGGAACCGCACAACTTGCACACCAGCAAACGAATATAGATACAGCAGGGGTGGAAAACGGAAACCAATTGGAGGTTCTTTTATATTTTATATTATTTCCTTAAGAAAACATTAGAAAAACCTTTTATTTCATTGCATTCTAAGGGAATCTCAAAATGCAACCCTGTCAATGATGCCAAAGCGATGTAAGACTCTTAGGGCTGGCAATGATGCCAATGCACTTGCACACTTTCAATGATGCCAATGTTGTTGAAATATTTTTATAAAAGAAACTAATTACAAAATTTGAGGAATATTCCTAAGAAATAAGTTTAATTTTATTTAAGATTAAAATAAAATACCTGAATTTTCTTAATTTCTTATCTCCAACACAATTCTCCACCCATTTCTAAATCAACGACCGCAATTGTGCCCACATGGACCCCCACTCACACACACTTATATGCAAAGCATTAAATAGAATCGTCGGCGAGAAGAGGAAGCAGAGGGTGTGAGAAAGAGAGGGAGAGGCGCACGCAACGCAGCTTTCAAAGCTTCGCTGTGTTTGTTGCTATTGCCATTCGATTGCACGAGGGAGGTGCGCAAGGGAGGCAAGACCTGGGATCGCCAGAGCGCCAGAGCGGGACAGAAGGCGGGGCGATAAGCATTCGCGGATTGCGAATTGCAGAAACGGAAGGGAACAGGGAACAAGCGAGTATAAATAAATAAATGATGCGAACGGGAACGGGGCACGCACACACAAAATATGAAAATAAATTGTTTCGCAAAAATTATCTCATCAAAGTGAGCCGCTGTGCCCGTCTCTTTCTAATTGCGGCTGCAGTTGGGTGCGTTAATTTCCGGATATTTTTTATCTCACTCACTCATAACACACATAAATCCCCTTTTGATATTAAATACATTTAATATATTGCTTGGTTTTTTTTTTGGGGACTGCTTCACATTTTTTCCATCCTCATTTTCGGTTTTTTTTTTGTACGAATGAGTGATTGCATAGACGAACACGCAAAAACAGAGAGAGAGAGGGGGAGAGGGGATAGAAAGGGAGGGAGCGAGACGTTGCTAATGCGTTGACGTTGACCTTGGTTTTAAAGTCCAAGCAAAATTTGCGCACATTAAAACAAAAAAAAGAAAAGGAACACGGAGGCAAACCCAAAACCGAATTTGAAACCA